TAAAAGAGCCAGACCTTTCACTGGTTGGCATAAAAATCCATATTTGCTGGCTTTAGTTGATCGAATTTGGAGAGTCATGTGATGATCACTGCAGTTTATTTGCTTGAATTTTGAGAATGAAGCAAGTAACAGCGATTTGAATATGTTGATAACTCACTTAGTTTCTTCCTACAAAAATTTTTGTGGTTAGCAAAGGAAATCAGGAGTAGAGGGGAAGTGTCTCAAATTTCGGTAACTTTCCATCTTCTAGGTAAATTGACATCTTCTTTCATTGAAATACATCCGAATTCATCTCAATATATTGAATGAACATTTAGGCGCAGAAGTAGCATTCGCAAATCCGCCTTCCATGAGCGAAATGGACATGGGAGCCATGGGCGCATGGGCTGAAATCATGGCAGAAGAGCAGGTACTCTAACTGTCCTACGACGAAAGTAATGAGTGAGCGAACCTAAGTGTGTTTACACAGGTACAATCTGCGCCTCCAAGCGAAAAAAATGACGAGCACGATTCGACACAAGAGCAGAGTGCAGAGGAAAATAACGGCAGCAGCACGATGAGAAAACAATCAGAACAACAGCAATATTTTGCAGTGCAGGTATGCTGCAGATGAACTTCACCTTGATTTTTTTCAATTTCATTTCATGCTTGCAGGTGACGAATTTGCCTGCTTGCACAAATGAAGAACTTTTCTATCATTTTGGAGGTGATAGTGTGGTAAGCTGCTCGCTTTTTTCTTATTTTTATTGCCAGATCACTATTTTGAACCTATAGGTGCGCGACATCGCATTTTTACCCGATCGTCGATGTGCGGCAAGAATTGACTTGCACACAATTGATGGATTGAAACGTGCAAAAGAGCTTGATGGGCAGCAATTTAGGGGCAGGACCCTTAGAGTAAGTTTTGCAGATAGTCCACGACAATCTTTCACTTTTCTACATTTTCTGCTTTTATCCCCACTCAATAACATGCAAATCGGTTATTTTACAGTGTTCTGTTCTTTAACAAAGAATTTGTCGGGACCTTGTCTACTTTTCATTGAAATGTATCTCACCAATTCTGTTGTAGGTATACGAGATTCGAGAAGACAGAGTACAGAGGCAAATACCTCATGAGTTTACAAATCGCCAGTTTAGTAACGAACCACCACCATATAGCAGAGAAAGCAGCAGGTACTTTTATTCTTTTGTTTGTTTAGTCAATTTTTGTCCTCATTCTCTGTTTGCATTGCCCTAAAATTTTCATTTTCCTCCTTTGTTAAATGCTTTCTGTGATGAAATTATAATTTCTCTGTACTGGGAGTTGTAGCTAATCATTAGATTTAGATTTTCAGTTTTTCCCTCTTTTT